TGAGTCTCTTGAAAGCTTCCCTGGAACGTCTCTGTGCGTCTAAACCTGATCTCTGCCGGTCGTTTTTAATTCCAGCCCTCACGTTCTTCTGCTTGTCGTTGCAGATCTGACCCGAGACGAAGCCGTGGACCTGCTGAAGAAGTGCATCGAGGAGGTGAGTTCAGGTGTCAGATGTTTACGTCTGGCGTTTTTAAATGTTCTCAAAAAGTCACGTGACTTTACGGCTACTACCAGAAACCCAGATGTACATGTGAGGACAGCAGCTGTCATCATCATGCATCAAAACGAGAAAAAAAGGATTAAAAATGTGTTTGCTTCAGTCCTTCTGAGTAACTTCTAATAAATGTATGTTCCACCATCGAGCTACACTAAGTTTGGTGAATTAGTTTTTCCTCCTAAATCTGTGATGTTTAAAATAACTCGACACATAAACAACATTTAAGTTGGTTTTCCATCAAAATGATTATTTTTTATTGTATCGTATCATAAGTTTCTTTTTTCTTTGTAATTTTTAATTAATTATTTTAAAGTGATATTTGCCAAAATTCTAAACAAGTTTTTAGATGTTCTGTAGAATTTAAAGTGGACTCGACGTCCTGACCTCAAAGTGAACCAAAGTTTAGTCGTCAAACCAATTTAATGAACTTATATAAGCTTGAGTTTAGTTTAAATTCACCTGTTTGAGTTCATGTTAGACACAAGATTAAAACTCATCAAACTGTCAGTTTTAGAGGTGAAGTTACATCAATACATTAGAAAGAAAATGTATTTATGAAGTGGTGGGACTGAACTATCGTGATGAAGTGAAGATCAACCGTTTCCTTATTTTGTTGTTGAATTACAGAAAAAAATCTAAAAACAAAAAAAATCTGTGTCGACCCAGAAAACAACTAAATAATCTTCACATCAAATATCTGAATTTTTTACAAACTTTCATTTTTTTCCAAGTTTAAAATTTTCTATAATTAAAATATAGTTTGTAGATACCGTTTTACACGCTGTAAATGATCTTTATTTATCAGCTGTTTAATGCTCACCACAGATTGTCTCTGACACATACTTGGTGTCATTTGAGATGAAACTTCTGTAGATTTTATGTTTGTAGTTTTTTAGTTCAGTACAGAGCAGGGATTCAAGTGTGTGTCAAAAAAACAACAAACAAATGTTAATATTCCAGCAATTAGGTGCAAAAACCAAGCGTAAAAATCTGTAAAATAACCATTTAATAAAAATGGAGTAATTCTCTATAATTAAATACAGTTTCTAGTTAAATTTTTTCGCCTTTTATTTCTAATCAGGGATTTTTTTACATGTGAAATATTATGAATTTTATAAATATGTGTTATTTGAAAGAAAAAGTGTAGATATTGTAAAAATACAGCAATTCTCTGTAATTAAAATACTATAATAATAATAATAATAATAATTTACCATAAAATGTTTATTTTTTAGCTTTATAATGATTATTAAGGGTTTTTTTGTGTAAAAATGATCAATTTTCCAGATATTTGCTGTTATTTGAAAGAAAAATGTTGCATAAATGAATTTTTAGGGACTTAAAATCCAGAAGTGAAGGTACATTTTTGTGTAAACCGATGAAACTAATTTACTGCAACTTGAATTTAGATTAAAATCAGTTGAATCAGTCTGGTGATGTTTAGCTCAGGAGCGTGCTGTTATTTAACCGGTCAGAACTTGACGGACTTTTTAGAGCGCAGGAAGAAACCAGTGTTGTTTTGTTAACTCATTCACGGACTTATTTGTTATATTTATTAGTGTAAATGTTCCTCATCGTCAAACTGGGAGCTCTGGTTGGTCTTTACTGGGACCGTTAATGGGTTTAGGACATAAAAACAACAGATTCATGTGCTGTGTTTTTTCCTTGTTTCTTCTGTTTGTGCTGACGTGTGTTCATGTCTCCGTCCTTCAGCTGAACAAACGCTTCATCCTGAACCTCCACTCCTTCACCGTGCGTCTGATTGACAAGGAGGGCATCCACGACCTGGAGAAGATCACCCTCGGCAACAAGTGACCGCCCGCTGCTCTGCTGCCGCCGCCGACCCGCTCCGTCGTTCTTTTTGTACCGATGACCTCCTTGCTCTTTCTGTTCCAATAAAAAGTGACACACAGTTGAGGCTGCTGTCGTCCCTGTGGTGCTTTCCTACTCATCTGCACATAGACGGAGGAGAAGAGCAGCCCGCCGGCTCTGAGCTCCGTCACACGGCTTCTGGGCAGCAAACACTCGCTGGTGCACGTGTGACGGAACACGCGTGACCCAGCCGTGTTCCAGCAGCTCCCTGGTTTAAACTCTGCCGGACTCAGAGTAAAGAGAACACATGTTAAACCTAAATGTGTTTAAGATTCAACACCTTCATTTAGCACGATTATCCAGAGTTAAGGCGCCGTGGAATGAATTTAGCAGAAGAAGAAGAAATGAAAACACAGGAGTAATAAATATAATGTGTTGTAATATATAATGTAGTTTATAATATGATCATTTAGAAAAATTAAATACAGTTCAGGAGGAGTTATTGTCTGGTGAATGTAAACTACACTGTAAAAAAAAAAGAATATTCAGCAGCTGTGATGCAAAAGCTAATCTAAAAACAATAATAATGTAGTAAAAATACAGTAAATTTCCTCCAGTTAAATTAAAATGTAAGATGTGCATTTACACTAAAGAAAGGTAAAAAAAAAACATGAATAACTGTAAAAACAGGAAATA